AACAAACTCTTAATAATACTTTCAAGATACCTTAAATGGACCTAAAAAGTAAAATAAACATGTAGGCTATTATGTCCTTCTGGTGGAAATGCAGTGACATGTGTCACGTGACGGTCAATAGTGACGATATTGGTAGTCCTTCAGTCATCTTCCAGGAGTCAAATGGAGCAGTTGTTTTTTCCTAGGACTCTGCTGAAACTAAATCTACATCCTCCATCATATGGTGCAACTTACATGGCCCGTTTTCTTATGGAAATATATCCTTCCCAGATATAGAAAATATTTCCGGCTCGCAGTCCTGATGTTAAAAATCAGGACTCGGCGTTTCCCGTTTGCGGAATATATACAATAGCTAGCAACAAGGCATATGAATCTGATCCACTCGAATCTGGAATCATAAACATGGCTTCTCCAGAAACATAGATGAATCTCCATATTATAAGTAAGAACTCATGTGTTTATTCTCTATTTACTCTGTTTGTTTTTGCATAGATGTTATATTTTCTGTGTTTAAGTCACTTGTAAATATGTATGTATAATTTTGTCGTTAACTTCTTTTTTTAACTATTCAGATCCACCCATGTGATAAGTTGTTATTACAGCATAAATGTAATAATGCCAATAAAAAGGGAAACGAAAATTGGAGTATCAACCTTTTTCCATAACTCACTCATTATCTGGATCGACCTGATATGACATGATATTATTTACTTCTATTAAATAGTTATATTCAATATGAATGGGAAGGAGCCCTGGGCCAACAACACAAATAATAAACTTCTCATCATCAAACCAATCTTAGATGAAAGGAAACAGATTTCAGCTTAACACACTTGCCAAAATTTGAGTAAACCACTGGAAGAATAATTTTCTTTTTCTTATTTGGGCTGAGAACCTTTAAACATGCGAAATCATAAAAGAAGAAATCTGTTAGCTGAAATATTGTATCCTGAAAACAATGTTTGTAAGCTAAAAAATTTTCATCTCAACCAACTTGCCAAAATTTGAGTAAATTACAAGAGGATTTTCGGCTTTTTAAACATCCCAAATCTTAAATGAAGAATGTTGTTAGCTGAAACAAAATTGGGCTGAACAACTAATACAGAATTAATGAAAAGTTATTTCACAATTTTCTCCTTTTCCTCAAATGATTCTAAATCCACAATTCAAAATCAATTAAAAGGAAGTTTAATTGTTTTTTCTTACTTTTATTTAACATATTCTTTAAACAAAATGCAAATGGAATTATAAGTAAATATGAAGTAATATGAAATGTTTCTACAAGAGGACATTAAAGCATTCTCAATCAAATTCATTTCTTAGTCAAAGCATTCCTATGAAAGGAATGTCTTGAGAAAGAATAAAAGAATGACTAATGCTAACTGGACGAGGCCGTACATACGTCATTCATTCATACTTTCTGAGCAATGAATACCAACCAACATGTACAACATGTCAAGCTTCAATCAGAGTGAAACAAATTCTAACTTAATGTACCCAGTTAACATCTGTAAGACATGAACACGAGGAAAATAACATGTGAAAACTATTTGAAAATACTGGAACCATCAACATAATGCTTTATTATAAAGAATAGGTTTATGCCAGAACATAATACGTAAAATAGATAATCTTCAAACTCTATATCTATAAAACATACTAGAAAATTATTAACAAAATATCTGTAGTTGAAGGCATAAAACTGCATTAAAAGCATTTAGATTTCAGTATTAATTAAACCAAAGAGGATGTTAAGCCGCCACAGAAATACAACTAAACCAAACCTAATTTCTTTCCAAAATCTGACAAAATGACCAAACATCAGAATCTTGGAGGGAAGTTGGGCTAATAACTTTACAGCACCTCCTTGTATTATTCATAAAAAGCAATTTAACTCACCCAAGTCTTATGTCAAGTTTCAGTTTGCAGATTTCTCAATGACAAAAGCATAATTCTCTTTTTGCTCTTTTGTACAAAATATCTGTAGTTGAAGCCATAAAACATAAAAATTACGTGCAAGATATCTGTAGCTGAAGCCATATAATTGTGTACAAATTGGATGGATTTCGATATTAAATAACCCACAGAGGTGTTGATATGCCGATAAACAAAACAACCAATCGACTAAATCTCATTATATGTACAGAAAGTTCAACAATTTCTTTCTATGTGCACCTGTCTATTTTGTTTACATGGTCATCTTAAAAAGTCTGGGGAATTGGGAAAACCAAGAATAATCAATCTTAATAGATGCTTGGTAAAACAAAAACAAACAGATTCTATGGCAGAAAACATTTTAAAATGTACATAGCGGGAACTCTCCAGGCAGGCACATATTGAAATATCTTCTACGGACCTAGATAAACTTATGTTGAGACACTAATAATAATATTATCCATTATGTCTAAAAGTGAACAACATACATAGATATTACGTCAGGTCAGAAGGGCACGAGAAAGCTGTTGACAAAAACATGCAAAACTTGATAAAATCTACTACCTAAATATATATAAATATATGCGGAACCTTATACACACTAATATCTAGGTTATATATATATATATATATATATATATATATATAGATAGATAGATAGATAGATAGATAGGGAAAACAACAAGGAGGAAACAGATTTTTAATCTAACATGTTTTGGTTTAATAAGCTTCGTCAGAGATCAAGACAGATATGTTAAAAATGATAAAAAGCAAAATGACGCAGTTTAATTGTATTCCGTGTTAGGCTAATTCATTGCTTACATCGTTGTCACGTTTAATGAAATAACAGATAATATTCAGATAGGTGAAAGAAAGCATTCTGGTTGTAAACGAAAGGTTAATGGGACGCTGTAGGATATTTTGAACAATTTTCTTGTGCGTATTTTGTATATAAATTGATTTTTATGTATTCGGAAGAATTAAGTTAGATTCATGAATAATGGATCTGCAGAAAAATGAAGAAAAGGATGGCTTTGGTGAAATTAAAGTTCTGTCCTACGTCGTTGCTGTGCAATATGATATATATATATATATATATATATATATATATATATATATATATATATATATAAAAAGTGAACATAGAAGTCAACACTTAGAGGCGACAGTCTGTTTCATGCTATATGCAATCGTCAGGCCACGTGTGCTTTTATTTTTCTCAGCTATTTATACATATACGGGTCAGTGGTGCATTGTGGGTAGTCTATTATGTCGGTTATTTTACCGGAAGTCGTTTATTTATTTATTTGGGTTAAATTATTTTGCTTGTTTTTATTTAATTTTATTTTTTGTTTCTTATTTTATTTATTTATTTACTTATTTTTTAATCGGTGTTTTTTATTAACGTAGTAAAAATTTGTTTATATCACTTATTTAATAGTTTTGTTTTGGTTTGAGAATTTAATTAAAGCTATTTGTTCCGTTTGGGGGTTGGTTGTTGTAGTTTTATTCTAACTATTATTTTGGCAGAAACAGTTTTAAGTTGTGTTTATTTGGGTTGATTATCTTTATTTGTTTTTTCTAACAGTAACTTTATCGGGATTGGTTAGTTTATTTATATAAAAACTAACCTAAACGAAGTAGATTTTCTAGATGTTACCTTCAACCTAACAAAAGGCACACATAATATTTGCGTGTGACGCGTTTCGTTATTTAAGGCTTTAGCTGACTAAACAACATTTATATATCCAAAAACATTTACTCTCTTCTTTTTATTTGTCATTAAATTACACCTTTTAGCATCTTCAATTATATACCTTTTAAAATGTACAATTAGCCATAATACTATTTTAAGATTTATTAGAGTTAAAAACTAAACGATAATCAACGTTGTTAAAAAGAAGCTGACACGTATATTTAGGCAACATATTTTCATTCAAGCATGTTTTCCTGAATAATCTGAACATATGTTTTTTTTTTTTAGTTCTATTGTAATCCTATCGAATTCTCCTATCAACTTCTTAATGTTGATATTAAATTCATTAAGGAAAGCACCGTAGATTTTTCTTTTTTTATTTTTATATATATTTTAGATATATGCAAATAAGTTTGATTAAAAAATCAGACAGGGTTTGCCTGTTTAATTTTTTATTATGTTTGTCCAATTTTCTGCACAAATTTAAGGATAATCTGTCTATTTTCATATTGTTTTCTTCAAGGCTTTCGACTGTCGAAGTCAGTATCAAGAACAAATGTGGTCATTAGTTGTTAGTTATAATTCCTTTGCCTACATACTGGTATTCTTTGGGAAGCTGGATTTTTGAAATGGCTTACCATGATGTCATGTGTAACGGTTATTGAGAACGAGGCCGCACAAAAAAATGGGTCTTATTTTTTATTTAATTTATTTTTGTGATGTCAGTGAATACTCGCTGTCATTTTCGGAATGCTCATTGTAGTCGAGATTTTGTAATCGTAGATATAGCTATAGTCACCGTTGAACAAAACTTGTGTTAGACACCTTCCAATAATATCGCAATAATAATACTTGCTCGATAATAGTCGCTCCAATAGTAATCCGTATAGTGATCCAAATAGAGAAATAGTATAGTGCATAGAGTAGAAAATAGCGGTCCGTATAGAAATAGAGGATAGATTGGGAATAACGATTAATTAGATGTCACGCGACTTCCTACTAATGCATTTCGTCTGTCTGTCTCTGTCTGATGCGGCATTCACCCTGGGCGGATTGAGCCGGCTTCTTCCTGTTATGAGAAGAAGATTATTGGGATAAATTACAGAAGTAGGGTACCCAGGCCTACTCGGATAACGTTCTTGCTTGCCGCGGGATTCCCACAGACGCAGAGACAGGAACGACCAGAAGCCGCCGGTTACCGATGCAGACGCTCCTTGGATTTTCACCAGAGCCCTTGTTATCCGGCGTGTGTGTCAGACCTGTCCGCCTTGGGTGGCCCTACCAGGAACGAAGTTCCGGGCGGCATAGCTCTGACACTACCGTTTACACCCCCCCACCGACTGTGAGGTAAGGGTTGGACTTTAGGGTCTTACAGTACCAGGTGTTCCCAAGCGGTCCCCCAACTAAGTACTGACCTGGCTCTACGATGCTTAACTTCGGTGATCGAACGAGAACCGGTGTTTTCAGCGTGATTTGACCGTAAGCATTTCGTCTATGGTCACGTGATCCACTTAATTCAGTAATGGACACTTTATTCTTATATAACATTATTTATTTTAATTTTTATACTAATATAATATATGTGCACATTAATTATATCATATGCGATTTGATAGACCGTCTTCCGTGGTGAATAATATTTAATGATGGCGTGTTGATCTTTATAACAATAGCCTCTAGAATCTTTCCTTGCATCAGGCGTTGGAGAGAATTTATGTGTTATTCACTAATGATAATCATGTCGATTTTCTAAGCGTAGCTTAGATATGATACAAAGCCGAAAGTACGGGGCACGCAGTGAGAGGATAACGCACTATTCGACCGTAATTGATCTAGCGAGACAAGCTTGTTAACCATTACACTACGTCGAAGTGCCCGAACTAATGTTCTTCTTATGTTGATAGTTATATTTCCATCCTTCATGATGTACTCGTTGATGTGTGCAAGGATTGCACATGGTTTCGACAGGTGGCAGATCAATCTGCAAGACAGTGTAGTGCAAATGTGCCCAATAGACGTATTTAATGCTGAAGTTTTGCTATTAGTGTTTAAGAAGCAATCTCCCAGGCGGCATAAGAATTTATAGACATTATTTTTATATATGCCCTAACGAACCCTTTAGTCAAACCAATATATTTTACCATTAATGTCCACGATTGTTTATCGTTAAATATAGCTTGCACGGATATTAATATTTAGAGTCCATTATAGAATGATATTAAACAAGCTAGTCCTCCTCTGCATCAATACCAATGCAATTACTGTGTTTCTCTTTAAAGGACTAGTCACTGTGACATACAGACTAACAAATTTCAACTATATATATATATATATATATATATTGGCATGCATATTTTAAATGATGGAGAGGACACAATATGAATTTATATTTAATAAGGATAGATTTGGGGCGGGACTAATACACTAATAATGAAAGCTACAGTCCAATATTACTGCCAAATATTTTCAGAACCCCCCACCTCGCTATTTACTTTGAGGTACTTGATAAAATCAAAAGAAGAATTAACAATATTTAATCTAGCAGCTCAGCGTCAGTCACTTTCCCACCTCCGTCAGGTTCCCATACTTTCAAGGTAATTGTTCGGATGAGCTGTACGCTATGGTATCTAGACCTTTTGATTTTAAGCGCAGTACTAGACTGGCGTCTATATCTCAGCAATTTATAGATCTTGATATGCTTTCAAGCCATCTCTAATTTGGAAGGATTTAAATGCAATGTCAATATCTATCTACTTTCCTCCTGATTGTCTTTTCATTTTCCCGCTCGTTATTATTGTTTCGTTTCCTAATACTTTCACACCCTGTAAACCCTTGGGTCTGAGTGGCTTTATTGCCTTGCATGGGGTGATTTCAATTAAAAATAAAACATATGTTGGCCATTAAACTTTCTTGGATATGACTTGATATCCGAGTTTGTTAGTTAATATTGCTTCAAATGCTTAATGTGTTCTAAAATTTAAAACAATGAATAACCAAAGCTGTGTCTATGATACTGAAGTAATTTGCTGTTAATTACTTTGAATGTCAGACCAGATATTTAAAAAAATATTATATATCTTCAGGATATAGCTTACGAGAGATTCCATATTTTAATAAAACGGCAATGCCAGGACGTTCTATTTTTGGAGACATAGTGGCTTTCTCCTTGCTTTCTTCCTGGTGTTTCTGGTTTTTAGTCCAGGGTTTAACCCTGTTACCTAGACTGACATCCATCCAAGAGTCCAGGTTACCTTAATTAAAGAATATTTGTATGGGTGAGATAAATTGGTTCATATTTTCGCAAAGGGTATTACGGAAAAATGTAACGCAACTGCCGGGACCAAACTGTAATTCGGCTTGCAGGGTCCACTTTGTTTATTGATAACTATTACAGTAAGTGTACCTCTAGACATCACTGACATAAAATTTCCTAAAATAAGAGAAGCAAGAAAAAATCGAGTTAAAATAAAGGTAAATAAGTAAATAGTTGTCATATTCGCCATAACGTAATTGGGATGAATAATTTAATTCGTATTTATGTTTGCTGATTTCTTTCGTAGTATCGATTATGTCTTAGATTTCGCCTTTACAACTCTCTTCAATTCAGTGTTACTAATTATCCGTATTTTCAGTATCAGAACGTGTTTTCGTAATATTAAATAAAACAAAGCATATGGTCTCTATTGGTTACATTTATTAGTAAGAAATGTTACCGATTACTTACCAGGAAAAGTACATGTGAGTAACTGCCAGTTCTTGCAATTTTTAATCAATTTACCCAAGCAAGGCGATGATGTCACTAATACATAAAGAGATTTTGTGAGTGAAGGAGAACGAGAAGTCTTTAGAAGAAACTTGAGAACACAATCTTCAACAAGAAACCATGGATAACCCTTTACTTCTGTTCCAAAGACAGGGATGAAATTGCAGATTACCATGTTCCTATGAATTCAAAAATTGTCGTTGAATAAATTCGCAGGGGGGAAACTCTTTTTAACGTGAACTTTCGCCTTCTCGGTAATACTCGATCACCTATTCCGTAACTCATTAGAATTGTACGGGTACCACATGAAGTGGTGCGTCTTGGACAAGATAGCTTAACGGAGCTCAACCCTCTCCAGGCTAATCTGAGTTGAGCGTTTTCCTTTTCCTTGACCGGTTGCTATATAGAACCTCGTTTTTCTGCTATTTACCCATAGCTGGAGCGAAGAATATTTGGATTCATGCCTTTTCCAAGCGTATTAGAAACTAGACAGAAATTCGAACTCGGCTCTCCGATACCTCAATCAGTGTCACTCTTTTTTGTCCATTTCGTACAACTAAATTCACGGATTTTGTTGTGTTATATCAGAACAGACGTCACATTGAAATTTCACACTAGTCCTTCAAACGTAGCCAAGTAGCATCTTGACCTGCGTTTAATCGAATGCAGAATTATATAATGTTAGATGTCTATATAAACAAATTCTCCAAAGATGATTAAAGAAGTCTCTCAGACATACGACACATGAAATTTAAGCTCCATATGTCCGCCTATTGGCGTCCAAGATCGTTCATATACGACAGACGAGACGAGAGTAACTGACAAAGAATAAAATCATAAAGAATAATCATATCTCGTTTTATCCTTTAATTGGCACTTTAAAGTAATAATGTTTTATAGCTTTTTAAGTATTATGCACTTCAGTTAGCAGCAAATTCCTTAATGGCCTCTCTGCCACGGACGCAGCGACTCAAGCCTATCGCTAGTATATTACTATGGCTAGGGTAAATTTTCGGGAGAACTCAATTATTTGGTTCGATGGTTTGGACTTTTACAGATAAGATCCGCCATGCCGTGTCCACAGTTTTCAATCACCCTCATCTCCTACGCATTCCATATGTAAAAAGGAAGATTTACTCTGACAGAATTATACATGAACCGTTCCTTTCTGGAAGAGGCTCCCGCAGGGATGCTTCCACGTACACTCCAGTTTAAAACGTATTCAAGTTTAAGGTCAATCCTACATAACCTCATAATACCGACTGCACCTCCTCTTACGTTCATATTATTCACATTATTCCGCTTGAGAAAACCTCTTGTCATTCACTGTCGACCGATAATTACCCGGCATCTGATATGGACAGCTTAACAGGAAAATGTAAATAAGTACGATAAGCAATTATTGAGGACAATAAGAAAAAAATCGGTTGCTTCTGAGAGAAAAGAGAAATAAAAGAATTTAGAGAAATTGAAATAAAAGAAAATTTATGCATTTGGGATATGTAGCGAAATGTAAAAATTCTCCCCTAGTAAAAAAAAACACACACACACACCCAGCCAGAGAAGGAGGGTTAGAGAGAGAGAGAGAGAGAGAGAGAGAGAGAGAGAGAACTTGCTTGTTTTAAAGACGATTTTATTGTTATTTCCTTCTATGATCTTGTCCTGTCTTATCTGTCACCAGCAGTTGGCGATGGTAGGCCGAAATATCACCTCGGTGGACCTTCCGTACTCAATGACCAAAGGAAAAAGGTTAATTACCTCGAAGTAGAAGACTATTCAGCAACCTCCAAGCCTGCCTCGTAACACATGTCGGGTGTTATCGGGTTGAGATCTGAAGACGTTTATATATAGTTGACAGCTTCAAAACAAAATGGCTGAGTTCTGCTTTTCCCATTCAATCCATTTTTCCATATTATATTACGGATTTGACCCGAACAGATACGCATTTGATATTGTCAAACGGTTGACAGCGCGTGTGCATTGGCAGAGTCCAATTTTTGCAAGAAAAACGAAATACTTATGCCACAGTCATTGTACGACATTTCCATGCGTATATCAAATATATATATATATTTCATATATTTAATATCTAAGCATAATTCAGTTTCACGACGAGAAAGAACTCTGTGGAAAAAGATGAGAATCGAACTCCATGGGTAAGGGAAATGGAAAGGAAACATTTGTTTTCTAAAATCGCATTGTTAGATGGTTTACATTCTCGTCTGAACAAGTAAAAAAGACAAAACATTTGAAGGACTGCAACAATAGCGGGAAATTAGTCTCGCTCTCAAGAAATCATTTTCAGAATAAATTACTGAGTATGAAAGAGATATAGACAGATATATAGAGAGGGAAAACGGGGAAATTATTTATTTTTCTTTATATACGGAGAGGTAAAAGTTTTAGAGAAAAAAAGGCAGATTTTCAATGTGCAAGATGGATTCTGACGAAACAAATCTGGCACAAAACAGTGACCCAATTTTCCTTTCAGTAGATACAGCTGTTGATTCGATTTAGTTGCCTCACCTTAAGTCAGTGGAGAAGGTGAGACCAAGCAAGGACACATGGCACAGTGGATAAAGGCGTTAGTTAGATCCAGTGACAGGACCCAAAGAGTGTGAGTTCAATACCCGTTCAAAGCAGTGGAGAACTTTCAGATAACTGATAACTGCCATCCACCAAACATGGCACGTGGAACTAGAACACTCTACAACATTGAG